TTGGGATTTCCGTTGGTGCTATTGTGTATTTGGCTCTGAAAGAAAAACAGGAAAAGAAAAATGTATCAGAAGTTGAGAAGGAAAAGAAGAAAGAAAGAAAAGCCAAAGGTAAAACTGTGAATCAGACTTGGTGGGGATCTGTGAATTTATGGGTTTGTTAACATGGATGGCATCTTTTGGGAACACAGAAATATATATACGGTTGAGTTAGAGCCCCAAGATCTCCATGAGAAAAAAATATTATTACAGAGTTCATTGGAAAGAAAAAACTCACAGTATAAACATAGGGTTTTTCTTTAATAGTCATAATAAATTTCAATTAAAGTAATTTTTTGTCCTAGGTACATGGAAGTAGCATTCAGGATCTGGATTTAGGAACACAGTCTAGAAAATAAACCTTGGGTTTATTTTTTTTAACCTTAGGTTTATTTTCTGTTAAATCCATTTTATTATTTTCTTTCTTTTTTAGAATCACTTGAGAAGGAGCTTGGTAAGTTTTCCATTTTCTTTGCTCTAATAGAGGAAATAGAGTCCTTATTCTATGCCGTATGTCTGGCATCTCACAGGCTGTTATTCCTTTTCAGCCAGAAGGAAGACATTATATCAGCAAGGTGAGTTATATTGATGTGATGGTTGGGTCGACCATCTCACCTGCCCCTCTGTTCTAGTCACTTCCTATTTACCTTGCTGGTGAGGAAGGGATCCCTACCCTAAATAGTATAAAATGGTCAAACATATGACACACAACACTGAACAGATGAGACTGACAGCAGTTTTTAAATTACATATACTCACGTCCTAGGGAGAAGGACACCATGAGCCATGCAGGACCACGTGGGGTTGCACTTGAGAGCACAATGAGCTAGCAAGGGCTGTGGGAGGCAGGCTCCATAGTTACAAGAGGATGAGATGCCTCTGTTTTCTGCGGAAGCATGAAATTGGCTTGTTTGAATAATTTTGCAGGCTGACGGTGAGGTGAAGCACATTAGGTTAAAGACCAGGTGGGGTTAGGTTGCCTTGGCCAACAGAGAAATTAGCTGATAGGGGAGTTTTCCGTGCTGGGTGGAGGGCATATCGGGTGAGAGCAGGCAAATTAGGCATTTGGAGTCCTGTGAAGCTCAAAAGTGTGAAGGCAGCACATAAAATTTTAAGCTTTCCAATACTTTCATAATTCAAGCCTATCCCTGCCTTGAAAAACAAAACAAACAAACAAACAAAAACAACAAAAAATTAAAAAAACAGAACCTCACATTTGATCACAAATGTGGAATGTGGAAAACGTGAGAAATAAAGCGGGAGATGTACAAGAGGACAAGCACATCAGAACTGTCACTGAGTGACGGACACGGCAGCGCAGCACCATCATAACCCTTCCGCTTCCACGTGGTCACAGCGTTGCCGTGCTCTGAAGTGAAGTTCCAATGAATGGGAGAATCTACTTCCTTTGTTTTTTGGTTTTTTTTTTCAGATTGGAGAAAAGCGGAGTTATATGCTGGTGAGTAACTGGTGTTGTCTTGGGCTTCAGGTGCTTCAGGATTTCATGAGGCATTTCCAGGGCAGTTTTCAGAAAAGTGCCAACTTTTGGAGATTTTACTTTGAATCTGGGAGTTCAAAAAAATACAAGGGATAAGGGGATAAGCATCTCACTTGTTCAAAGGACATGTTCTTGGCATATTTTCCCTTTTTTGTTTTTTCTTTTTAGACTGGAGAAAGGAACTGTTCGAAGCAGGTGAGTGACCTTACTATTTTGTCTCACATAATCTTTTCTATACAAATGAGAAAACACTCTATAATACCTAGCTGGTTATTCACTTCGTGGCTTTTGCTTCAGTCTCATGCAGAAATGTGAACAGATTTCTTACTGTTCTGACATCATTCATTCATTCATTCAGCATAAAATTATACAACTATTTATTCAGTGCCAAATGAATAAAGCAGATCTTGTCCGACTTCATGGGAAAGTGCATGTACAAACGGTGATGAATATTATGGAAGGATAAGAGAATGCCATGAGAAAAAAAAATGGTGGATTCAAAGAATTCCCCTGAGGAATTGATATTTAATCTGAGACTTAAGTGATATTTAAGTGAGACTTTAGATTTATTCATGCAGATAACATTGACAGAGTAGCTGAGGCAGAAGGAAGTCTACTACATAACCAGTCTGAGACAGAGAAGGGCTTGTTGCATCTCAGCGCAAGTGGAAAATGGCCCCTGATCATCTTAGAGTCTTTCCAGAATTATGAGTCAACTGTTACTACTGTATGCTACTTAACTCTGAATATCCCTGTGTCCACAAACATTTCCTAATTAATGTAATCCTCCAAAAGTTAAAATATATTCTAATTCCTCACATACAAATTCTTATGAGAAAAATTTTCATTATTGAAGATGTGAGGTTTGCTACTAGAGTTAGCACTGGTGCCACTCGCACTCCTGGTGTTAGTGTTACTACAACCATTGGAAGCTACCATCTACCACGTGCTCATCACGGGCAGGGTAAAGCACTATGTTCTCTGCACACTGTCTCGTGTGCTTCTCACTGTGCTGTGCTGAGGTGTCATCATCATATGCATCTTCATGAGGTTACAGTGAGGCTGAGCAAGGCAAAGGAACTCCAAGATCACAGCTCCTAAAGACAGCGTGGTTATCACAATTCAGATCTTTCTGACCACAGAGTTGGGATTTCGACTATTAGAAATATAATAAGAGTGTGTGAGACTAGATGACTTATTTATTACATAAGCCCACAGAAAAATGACACCGAAGAAGCGCAAATGAAAGTAGACATGCTGTGATTGGCAATGTGACATCGCTTAGTTATTAAGAGCGGGCAGTAAAGCAGTCAGCGTCTGCATGAGGTTAGAGAAACTCCAACTTGAAATATCTGATCCTGAGGGTTTTCAGATGAGACATCCTTCTTGGCTAAATGGTCTCAGTCTGTCTGGAACACATGGTTATCTAAGGTCCAATTCAACCCTGACCTTCTTTGACCTACACAACATGTGTCTCCTATGAACTGACATAGAATAGAACATAAACTGTCTTACCTTATCTTCCATTTCTCTCCCTCTTGTTTTTCTTCATTTTCCTTTCCTAGTAATTTGAATCTTTCCTAAAGTCACCCCATCTCCATGGTGGAATGATATTCATTTTTTTCCCCCCAAACCTGCAGTGGATGTTACTCTGGATTCAGACACAGCTCATCACAAGCTCAAGTTATCTGAGAGCAGAAAACAAGTTTGTTTAAAAGAGAATGATCCTCAGAATGGTGACGCCTCAACACACCAAGAGCAAGAAGAGTCTGAAACCATCTCCAGTGTTTTGGGCCAGGATGACCTTACCCCAGGGAGACATTGCTGGGAGGTAGAAGTGAGTATGAAGACAGAAGCTGGATCTGGAACTAGATGTGCTCTGGGTGTTTGTGCAGTTACAGCAAAAAGAGAGGGGTGGTTTGCAGAAAGTCCAGAGAAGAATTTCTGGGTGGTAACATACAAGGAAGGAGAAGTCATTTCCCAGAAAGGGTCTCTGTCACTGAGACAGTGGCCCCGCAGGATTGGAGTTTTCCTGGACTGGGATGCTGGGAACGT